AATTTCGTCGGAACGAAGTTACGGAAAAATCAATAAACGAAACGGAGACGTAACAATACAACATGTTAATAACATTCTACTCTTATTGCACCATATTATGTGAAATGCTGCATTTTAAAAACTTTATGCATTGTCTTGTAATATCACTTTGCAAATAAATTGAATATATTTAAATGAGTATTTTTTCTGAATTTTGGTTTACATAATAACAATTTTGTTTTGAGAATATGAAAGTTTTGGTATGTGTGCGAGGCCATGCAATTCGTGAGGAAATAAAGCTAGAAGTATTATATGTAGATATATGCTAAGTCAACAGTTTCATAGTATAGTATAGTATAACTCCGCTCCGGCATCTGAACGTGAGGGGCCAGGCATAGCCAAGTGGTTATGGCGCTCGACTCCAAATCTTCGAATTCCCCTCCCACCAAACATGTCCGCCCTTTCAACCGTGTGGGCGTTATTATGTGACAGTCAGTTCCACTATTCGTTAGTAAAAGAACAGCCTAAGAGTTGGCGGTGGGTGGTAGCTGTTTTCTCTCTAGTCTTTCACCGTTAAATTAGAGGCGGCTAGCACACATAGCTTTTTGTAGCTTTGCGCGAAATTGAAGACAAACCATACTGAACTTGAGTCCGAGTTCAGATACTTCAAAAACTAAAAATATGTGTATAAAAAATAAGTTATTCAATTTACGTCTCAAATTAAGTGTCTTTCATTTGGAATGTGTGTATGTCACTTTCATTAGATGGCTGAATGTCACTACACTCCAACATGTGTTTGCCGATGTTAGTGAAATACACATTTTTAACGTCTGATGTTCATTGTATTTCTGCATAAATTCAATTTTGTCCTTAAGAGAACAGGATCTACCTCTGACTCATAGAGACTTAAGTATTGAAAACTAATGTCTATTAAGGTCTACAATGTACAACTTAAAATTCCATACGTGACATTGAAATATAGAAAACAGTTTGGTTATTTTAGAGCAAAGCCACATTGGACCATCTGCTATGTATACCGCAGGAAATCGAACCCCGGATTGTGTCACTGTAAGTCCGGGGAACAGAAAAACAGTTTCTAGTATGTAACTTAAAATACAAACTCTAAAATATTTAACTTTACTTGAATATTTAAAATCACACAAAAATAATTAGATGAAGCAGTGCGTATGGATGTACAAACCGATGAAATTAGTGTCGCAGAAGGTAAGGCCAGTCAGGCCATGGCCTGACTACTTTTTCATGACAAGTATAGCTACATCTTATATATTAAAACTCGCTTCTTTTAACCCAATACATTACGTTGTGTGTTTGCAGCATTTGTAGTTAAAATTGCTCATGATTCAATCTCACAGCATTAACTTTTCAAAAATTTTCGGGAGGCATGATTCCCCCCATCCTAGAAATGGCACTGTCTGACCACTCAAAAAATGCTTCGTATGGCAATGAGTATTGTTACGTATCTGCTTGTTTGATAATTTCTGATAAAATTTTTTCCGAGTGACTTCAGTCGATAC